ACTCGCCTCTCCTTTGACAGATCTAACTCGACTTGACACATCGTGGGACTGGAGTGATGAGTGCGAGGGTGCTTTCAAGAGTTTGAAGCATGCACCCATGAATCACGAAGTTCTCATGGTTCCCGATCCGCAGAAGCCATTCATAGTGACCACTGACGCAAGCCAATACGGCATTGGCGCAGTGCTGGCTCAGCAGGATGGGAAAAAGTTGAGACGATAGAGTATACGAGTAAGAAGATGCCATCGAAGAAATTGGCTATGTCCACCTACGAAAGAGAACTCTACGCTCTCTACAAGGCACTTGTCCATTGGAGACACTTCCTTTTGGGAAGATTCTTCTATCTGAGGACTGATCATGAGGCCCTCAAATGGATCAAGACTCAACCGGCTCGTTTTGATGCACTCAAGCGATGGATTGAGGTCGTAGACCGATATGACTTCAGGTCATAGACCGATATGACTTCAAGCTTGAGTACCTGAAAGGAGAGTACAACAAGGTTGCAGACGCGCTATCCCATAGAGCAGACTACCTAGGTGCGCTAGTTTCCGAATTTGGTGTATCGAACGAAGTAACTCAATCATTGGTGGGAGCCTATCAGGAAGACCCTGTCACGATGGACATCATCCGCAAACTTCAGGCAAAAGACAAGGCCACAGAAAGTGAGTTTTTGATGGTGGATGGGCTAATCTATCTTGATAAGGCCGGAGTAAACAGATTGGTAGTTCCATCTAGTGAACAGTTGCGTAGTTTATTTTTAGGCGAATGTCATGACGCAACTGGGCACTTTGGCTACAAGAAGACGAGTGCTAACTTAGTACAGCGATTTTGGTGGCCCAGAATGCTAGATGACGCAAAGAAGTATGTTGAGACTTGTCAAGTCTGTCAGCGGGACAAGCCGCGAACTCAAGCACCGCTTGGGTTATTGAAGCCTTTACCCATTCCTGATGGTCCAGGATTGAGTGTTTCCATGGATTTCATGGACACCCTTGTGACCAGCAAGAGTGGTAAGAGGCACATTTTCGTCATCATTGATAGATTCACCAAGTACGCTAGACTAATACCAATGCCAGAGACAGCCAGGACGGAGTATGTCATCAAGTTGTTCAAGGACAACTGGGTAAGGGACTTTGGTTTACCAAAGACCATCATTAGTGACCGAGACGTCCGCTTCACAAGTGAACTGTGGAAGAAGACTGCAGAACAGATGGGCAGTCAAATTCAAATGACTTCAGGGAATCATCCCGAAGCCAACGGACAAGCCGAACAAATGAACAGAGTGGTACAGCACTTGCTGCAGCATTACATCAAGCCCAACCAAGATGATTGGGATGAGCAGTTGCCTCTCATCGCCAGCTTGTACAACAATGCTATTCATAGTAGTACCGGCGTTAGTCCTAACCAGTTCCACTTGGGATGGAAGCCTAGATTGGCACTAGACTTTCTCCTACCTGAAAACCGACCTGCTGCAACTCCAGGCACGCTTGAATACGGCGTGCAATATGAGAAGTTGCTGCGCGAGGTTGTTGAACATATGAAGAAAGCTCAGCAAGCCATGATTGCTTCCGAGAATAAACATCGCAGACAGTCCACATTTCAGGTGGGGGAACGTGTTACGTGTCATGAGTATGATGGCAATAAACTTTGGGAAGGATATACTCACTTCTGGGTGACCTGGTGTGATAATCGGTGTGGAGTTGGATAGAGTAGGACTGGAATAATCCCAGGACGGGTGTGTTTGCTCTTGGAGAGCTAGGCATGAAATACAGCCTGTCATCGGTGGTAGTAAACTATAATTCGTCTGAATTTTCAATGTTGAAAGAGTGTGTTTGCTTCTGGATAGTTTGTTAGGTGGGACAATTAGCACTGAAGAGGGATAATTGGGTAGGGTAGTGATAAATCCCAGAAGGGGTGTGTCTGCTTCTGGGTAGTCAGATAAGTAATCGGTCTGTGGGTGTGGTTGTACTAAACCCCAGTAGGGGTCTCATGGTGGTTCCTTGTATTCTTTAGGCTTGTATATCTACAACAGTTAGTTTTGGCCTGGACATGTAAACAATAACTTGCTCTGTGGTTGGTAAAGTAGAGGTACCGGTTTGTAGATCAGAGGCCAGAAGACGACATACCCATACAAGATTGTAGCCTGATCTTCTAAATCTCTGTGTAACTGCGTAGTAAGTGCAAGCCTGGAAATGGTTCGTTGTTGACCTGGACTCTCTCTGTGCATAAGGACGCGAATGAAGAGCTGTTTGAAAGGGTAGAGAACTTGCACTTCCCTTTGTAGGCTGTGGTGAGAAGCTGAAAGAGTAAAATAGGGAGTACACAGTCCTGGAACCTTGTGGAAATGTATAACAATTATAGGTCACAGATAGAGATTGTTATTTCGTTTGTTGAGTGAGCTGCGTTAAGCGCGTGTGGCTGCTGAACCGTCTCTAGATGTGTACAGTAACTGCTGGTCTGGATGGAAGAAGTTGGATGGTCTGTTTGTTGAAGTGAGCTGCGTGAAGTGCTTGTGGCTGCTGAATGGTCTCTAGAAATGTGCAGCATCCGACCTGCCCTGAACGTTTTTCGTCCTTTGGTCTGGTTAGGAGTTGCCTGCTGCCCTACACTCATATTCTTGACCAACACGCTGGATAATATCCTGATTAACCATGCAACCCTCAGTGACCCTCAAGGTTGCATCCCTCAATGTTAGGGGGCTAGGCCCCCTCTCTTTCCGAGCTAAATGGAGGGAGATAAAAGGATTGGTTGACAGGGATAGGATCCAGGTACTGTGCTTACAAGAGACTAAACTGGCAGAAAACAGGCTGTCTGAAGGAGCTTTTCCCCCGGCCCAGGCAACCTTTCAGGCCTGGGCACTGGCTGCTGGCACTTCGGGAGGGGTTGCCATCCTTTGTACCAAATACTTTAAAGGACAAGTGCTAGACTTTTTTGTAGACACGGGGGGTCGATGGGCATGGGCCTATATGGAAATGGCCACCAAAAGAGTGCTAATCGCCACCCTGTATGGTCCGACAAACATGCAAGAGAAACGTCGGTTTTGGCAGGGACTGGCAACTAATCTCCCGGAAGCTGAGAAAGTTATTCTCATCGGGGACTTCAATACTTCGGCAGACCCCCTCCCCCGTCAGCAACCCCGACAGCCATACTCCCCGGACTCAAGAGCTGTGCGGATGGCATTGGCTGAGATGGGCCTTGGTGATGCATTTCGTGCATTGCGGCCAACCAAGAAAGGCATTACTTGGGTGGCTCCAGCGCTGAAGCGACACAGTAGAATAGATATGGCCTGGATGACCCAGGCAGCCCTGTGCTGCCTGTTGGAGTTTACAATCACTGTGGCGCTTCCCTCGGAATTGCAGACTCGGCCTCCTCCCTCTACGGTGCCTGCTTTGCTTTTTGCAGACAAGTACAATCGGAATATGGCTTTGCAGCATTGGGAGTACTGGTCCTCTCTCAGACATCCACAACAGTTGTCCCTGCAGTGGCTGACGGACGGAACGGCGGCTCTCGCTCAATTACTTAACGAGAGGTACTATCGTCAAAGAGGGCACGTAGGGCCACAGCTGAAGCCTTCGTCCAGTGCGCCATTGACCTCGGCGATGGCCCTGCTACTCAAGAAGAAGAGGAAGAATGGTGGATGGAGTGGACGACCCTGAAAGCGGAATGGGACGACTGGCAGATGTAGGATGCGGAGCTCTGGGGACTTTGAAACAAAGCGCAATGGACGGTCGCAGTGGAACGCATGACAAAGACTTTTTTCAGGAGACTCCGCCTGAAACGACCTGTGTCTCTGATGCTTGCCTTGAACCCGCCTTTTGACGACCAACGCCCTATCGCAGATAGTACGCCGGTCATCCTGGAATATGTCCAGGGGTACCACACATATCTGCTGTCGGAAGAGCGGAACGACCCGCCGGAGGAGACTGCAGCCTGTCTAGAGCGTGACGTCTGGGCGAAAATAACAGCCAAGCTGAAAGTGGAGGACTCGGAACAGCTGGAACGCCCGATTACTCAGGAGGAGGTCCTGGAAGCCCTGGCTGACCTGCTGGTTGGGAAGGGCCCGGGACCTGATGGGATGCCCTTGGAACATCTCAAAGCATGCGCGCACGTCCTCATGCCTCATTTGTTAGGAAGATTCAACTCCTTCTGGCATGGATCTGTATAGCTACCGCAGGACTTCGGTCTCACCACCATTATCCTTGTTTACAAGAACGGATCTGTCGATGACATCCGGAATTGGAGACCAATCTCCCTCTTGTCGGCCCCGTACAAGACACTTGCGAACCGACTGGCGGCTCATCTGCCGGGATTGATAGAAAGTACGCAGACAGGCTTTGTCTCTGGTAGACGCATCCACACTAGTGTCTTGTTAGCGCGTCAGATCCTATGGGATGCCCCTCGACAACATCCGCAGGTGGCCTTGGTCCTGCTAGACTTTGAGAAAGCATACGACAGAGTCTCGTGGTCCTTCCTAATGGAAGGGATGAGGCAACATGGCATTGGCCCGAGGTTTCTGGCTGCAACTCGTTCGTTGTTGACAAGCGCGCAATCCCAGTTACTCATCAATGGCTACCTTACTGACTCGATCAAGCCTTAGGTAACTAGGTCGGTGCGTCAAGGATGCCCCTTGTCCCCCGCTCTTTACATCTTGTACATTGAACATCTCCATGACATGTTGAGAGCAGACCCATCGCTCGTCGACCTCAGACTACCGCAGGACAGACAACTCAAGAGCTCCGGATTTGCTGATGATACAGGCGCTGCCACTGCCCTGGAACAACATAGTGTCCAAGCACTTAAGACCCAGATCTCGACTTTTGAACGCTATGCTGGTGCGAGGCTTAACTGGCATAAATCTGTTGCCTTGCTACCTGACATGGCGGCAGCCCCGCTCTTTGAAGGAATGAAGATCCAGCCTATGGCTGAATCTTCGACCTACCTTGGTATCACCATGCCAGAGGCGTTGACGGAAGGCAGCCAAATGGAAGGCCTTATGGTAAAGGTTGCCGCACGACTTGCCATTTGTGGCTGATCCTTGAACTCGGGAGTCTTTGGCAGAGCCCTGTTGGCAAATACTGCGGCATCGGCGACGCTTTGGTACGCTGGAGCGGTTTCTTCTCCGGGTCCTGTTCCCAGCCGAGATTATAGAGCATCTATCTGTAGATTTATCTGGCGAAACAATCCCATTGCCGCTCATACAATCTACAGGATCTCGTGGCAGAAGCTCATTCAGCCACGGGCGAAGGAAGGTCTGGGTCTTATAGACCCCCTCTGCAGATCCGCGCGCTGCACCTTCGCACTATTATCTGGCTCCTCTTGGAGTACGACAATGCCCCTTGGAAAATCTTGACGCTCCTGATGATGGCTGATGCCCTTAGATTGGACCCCGCGGACGTTGAGACTGCCCTTCTGCAGCCTCAGCTCGAGGCCTCTAATCATTCGCTTTACCCGATTAAACTGTTCAACAGCTCCAGCTATCCTGAGGGAAACTTCGGAGGGAACCAGCTACGGTTCGATTAGTCTTTCGCCCCTATACCCAAGTCCGACGAACGATTTGCACGTCAGTATCGCTGCGAGCCTCCACCAGAGTTTCCTCTGGCCTCGCCCTGCTCAGGCATAGTTCACCATCTTTCGGGTCCCAACGGG